GGAGACCTGGAAACCTCGTTCAATGGAAGCCACTATCTAGTTTACAGAGCTAATAATGACACGCAAAGCTAACACACCCCATACGGGTGTGTATATGCATGTATATAAACATATATATCTATGTTTGCCTGCTTAGAGAGATTTTGTGCCCTCTTGCTCTGCCCATTGGCTTGAATTGTTCCCCATGTGTGGGGCTCAGCAGCGGGGCTGAGAGGTGCGAGGCCAGTGGGAGGCAGAATCTGGCACGGCGGCCGCCCGGAGCAGCGCGGTGCTCGGGCTGGGCACGGCCGCTGAGGGAGGATGGCCTGGGTGGGGGGGGTTCATTCCCTGGGAGCTCCCGTGGGGCAGCAATGAGTAATAGGGCCCGGGGCAGCAGGGTCTGTATCAATCTGGCAGAGCGGAAAAATGAATGAAAATTGGATTCCCCGCAGAGCGGGGGGCTGCGAGCTGGGCTGGCGGGTGATAAATCAGCAGGAGCCGTGAGCGGAGGGGCGAGTTGGTGGCCGGGGGTGCTGGCATTAGGAGAAGAGCATCACAAATGCAAGGGGGGGCAAAGGCGGCACCCACGTGTGCCGACACCTCGGAGGGGGCCTCACTGCTGCAATGGGCGTGCACCGGTCTCTGCCCAGGCTGGCAGAGCGGATGGCCGGGAATTTGCTGGGAGAATGGGCTGAATTCCCCACACACTCAGTTCATTGGGAATGTTCAATAAGGGGCTCGTCTGAGGGTTGCGGGTGTTTTTTTTCAGGCCGGGGGCCTCACGGCGGCGCCCTGCCTCCGCGTGCTGATTGATGAGATGCTCTGCAGCACTGCAGCGCCCGCCGCGCGGCCCCGCTCCCCCCGCCGGTGGCACCCCCCGCCCGGCCCGGGCCTCCCGCTGCTCCCCACAGGCTCCTGCAGCCCCGCTGCTTCCCCAGCCTCTGGTTGATGGGCTCTTTTATGATAAAAAATATAGTTATTGCTAGTGTTATAACATAGTTACATATTCTCAGTGTGCCAGTGCAATGTAAAGGCACTTTTTTTTCCCCCTTTTCCCTCCCACCTTTGACTAATGATAAATAATGATAATAATATAATAACTAATAAAAACGCTAAGAATGATTATTGCTATTATGGTCAGTGTTTTAACCTCCAGGACCAGACTTGCCTGAGGGGCAGGGGGCCAGGAGTGTGTGGGGGGGTGGGAGTTAGGCCGGATCGGGATCCCACCTGCACTGAGGCGCGCTTCCATGTCACCCCTCCCGCTTCCATGTCGCGACAGCGCCTGTCGCGACACCGCCGTGTCTCCCCTCCCGCCACCCCCGCCTCCTTTTCTCCCCGCCGGGGCGGGCGCAGGG